CACAACAAAACTCGTCGACTGTTATCAACTTCAATTTACAAAGAAGAAACAATCCAAAAACCATGTTGTTTTGACCAACAACCAGCACACGCTACTGCTACAAGTTACTGCTTGCAGTCTCAGATATGTACTTATTATATTTTGTCAGTTAAGGGTGTGAATTGAAGGGTTTGGGAAAATCGTCACTGCATAAAAACGACACGCCCCATCGATTTATGATTAAAGGTGTATTAAGAGCAAAGATGGGCGCTAATTTCACCGTTGGTGCCGTGCGCGCACTCTCCAGGAACATGACCATCTTCGCCTCCAACTGGACGATGCAGTCCTTTTCAGTGTGCACGGTTGTGCTGCAACGGATGGGTCTGCGACGGTCAAAAAGATAGGTAGTTACTCTTTAAAGATGCCGCAGTGGTTGATCTGGGGATTTTGCAAATTTCGAAATGAAAGTATTTGAAAAAAAAAACACACACAACTGAAATGAAAAGATAAATGAAAAATTTGTTTTGTCCATTTTTGCGCATTGTGATTTTTTTCGAGTACTTTAATCTCGAAATTTCCAAAAACCCCAGGTCAACTACTAGTGGCATTTTTTAAGAGTCCCTAGCAATTTTTATGACCGTCGCAGACCCATCCGTTGCGCTACAATCGTGCCACCGAAAGAGACTGCATGCAATGTTCCAGTTGAAGGCGAAGATCGGCATGTTTCTGGAGAGTGCTAAGTGACGATTCATGCAAACCCTTACATTTCACAGGTCTGACCCCTTAAAGCGTTAGAATTATTTACAGAGCGAATTATTGATCAATTTGTCAATTATTTCATATTAATTCGTGCTATTACTAGTTGCTGGATACAAAGCAGAATGTCATTAAAAAGCGCGTTAAAAAGTCAGTATTTCTGTGGTGTCAAAATCAAACCTAATTAGGCCTACTGACATGGGGCGGAGGCGGAAGTCAGTAACTGCTAGCTTTCTAGGTAGCTCTCAAGCAGAAGTGGTAACTTCCAATTGCTTGGAAACAACAACTTTTGAAAACCTTTTGCTTGAGGAAACCTCTGCAACGGACGACCCTGGCTGAAAGAGGGCGACTTGCCTCAGCCGTCACTGACGACCGACACGGCCCCGTGCGGGTAGGCAACCCGGCTGCACGCCTGCATGCCAGCACGCACAGTGTTGCCTATCGCCACTCACCTAGGGTGCGATTAGAGAGCTCACGGTGAGCTCACCGTGAGCTCACAGTGAACTCACGGACTGAGCCTTCTAGACCGCCTTCTAACCCGCTCGAAATAGGGTGAGGTGGTGGTGGAAACGTTCTGAGGACGTTTTTCAAGGGAGCTCACCGTGAGCTCACCGTGAGCTCTCCAATCGCACCCCAGACAGTACTGTGCACCGCAGGGAAAGCAATCCGGCTGCACGCCTACCTGAGCCTGGCCTGCGCGAACCTTTAGAACAGTTCTGCACTGTAAAAACATTCTGAAAATTCTGTAGATGTTTTTCAGAATTGGCACTCTGAAATTTTGTTTTCAGACCATTACTCACGATTTTCTAAGTTTAGACTGAAAATCTACACATTTTACTCTGAATCAGGTAATCAGAGCACTTTGCTGCTTTTGTAATTGCAAAACCAAATGAGAGCGATTTTTTAAATGTGAAGAAAAACCTCCACAATTACGAGGAATTATTCCTTCGTAAGTTTACAAACCAACCAAATCCTTTCGCAAGGAATTATTATCTGTTTCATCGGTGGGACTGTAATGTACTTCTGTTGATTTCCAGAGTTGCGGGGTACCGAATAAGTGGACGAGGCGAATCAGGCACACACGGTACTAACGATGCAGCGCCCAGCAGCGCCCTCGCCCCCCGCTCGCCCCCTCCTGGTGTAGCTACACTGAGAACGCTCCGGAGACAGAGTTAACGAGCTTCCCCCGCAGTCGCGCTCACTTATGAAGGCTTCGGACGGGGACGGGGCGGCCGGCTATCATCGTCCGGACCGGGATAGAGTCGAAGAGCGCGTGGGCGCGGGGTGGGGAGGGAAGGGGAGGGAGTGGGGAAGGGTGGATTCAGGTCCATCTTGGCGACGGGCGGGTGGGAGGGGGGGGGGGTGCGTGTTTTGCCTGAATGAGGTGAACGCATACTCTCAACTTTTAGGCGTTGCCTCTCGGTGACGGGTACCTTGAGTGTACCGGCTGTAACTAACTGGGTGCATACGCAGCAGTGTTGCAGGATTGCATACTTGATATATGGCCGCAAGGGCCATGGCCCCTTACGGGCGTGAATAGTAGGCAAAGCCGCAACACTGCTGCGTATTTATAGTTCAGAGAAGTTCTAGAGAAGGAGAGGCAACTGAATCCTTGCGAACGATTGAGGCTGCTTCGTACCGAGGGTAAAGACTAATACTCCCCAGTGTTGCGGGTTTGCATACCCAAGGGGCACGATGTAGAGGGGGCTCACTCACTGCATCGTGCCAAGGGGCTATGGCGCCTGACGGGAAGATCGGGTAGGCAAGCCCGCAACACTGTGGCGTGTTGCCTTTGCACACGGTACAGGGTGTACTAGAAAAACAAATGTAGAAATCAACGCCGGCTTTGGGATGTTAATGACTTAAGTGCCTTTACAGCGGAATGCAATGCACTGTGTTCAAAATAAAAGATACATAAAAATCCAGTTAGTGTTGGTACATAGGCAGCGAATACTCGGCGGTGGCAGTGAGGTCTTTTGTCTTTTGAGCCCTGATAGCATTCATGACCATGATGACAAAGGGGATGCCTCAGACCGGCGGGCTGACAAGGCTCGACGCCCACCCACCCAAGCACTGGAAAAGCAAAGGTGCTGACTCCTACCTTTAAACGGCACTAAAGGGTTTAGTGCCTTTGCAAAGGCATTAAAACTGCCAAAGACACTAATTTCTTGCACCTTTTGGCCTGTTTAGTGCCCCAGGGAAGGCACGACTTAGCACTTCTGTTTTCCCAGTGAGGCGGCTGCAGCCCCCCAACCCTCCAGGCTTAGGTCGGGCGGCCGGCCGGGCGGCTAGTAGGTAGGCGCCATGCAGTAGTCGCCCAGCCCGGCCCGGCCTGTGGTGGGCGCCTGGTGGGCGCGGGCCTCGCCACGTGGATGAGACCCACGCTCGACGCCGATGTGGGGGCCATAGGAGGGGGAGAGAGAGAGAGAGAGCGGATACAATTCGCTAGACCTCTTGTGCGTGCGAGAGCGTTGTATTGCGATGTCGCTCATTCCATTCCACGCGCGCAGCTCCACTCGATGAGAGAGAGAGAGAGAGAGAGAGAGAGAGAGAGACAGAGCGCAGCACACGCGCTGTCGCGGGCCTCGGTTCAGAGGTAGCGGAAAGCGCAGGATTTCGTGGAACGCGGGAGTTGATCCGAGCAACGACAAGCGGGCTCTTCGCTCTCTTTCTCTCTCTCTCTCTCGTTCATTCCGTCAGCCTCCAGCAGCAGGGGCGGACGCACGCAGCCTCTGCCTCCCTCTGCCCTTCTCTCTCCCGCCCCGCCGCTTCCAGGCGCTGCGCAGTTGCCCCCCACCAGCGCGCTGCCAGCCGGGCGGGCGCGCCGCGCGCGGCCCACGCAGGGGTTGCACCCCCTACCCCTCCCAGCCCGTCAACCCCCCCGGGCCCCCAAATATACACCGGTGCACCGGCGCGCCGGTGGTGTTGCGTAGGCGGCGCAGCCGCCCCCTCCCCCTTCTCCTGGAGACGAGAGTCGTGCCATGGCATCTGTTCGTCTCGATAACAACAGCGAATGATAATTGGACGAAATGTTTGAGCGCGGCTCTGCTCCTAGGAGCCAAAGAGCTTGCAGCAGGCGGGCGAGAGCCAGCCCGGGCGCCAGCCGCGCCAGCAGCCCGGCCCACGCTCCCTCCACCTGCCGGCCGGGCCGGGCCCCGCCCCTCCCCTCCCCTCGTCCGGAACAGCTCCACGTGCAGCGGCCCCGCGCCCCGGGGGTAGCTGGGGTAGCGGGGGCCCACACAGGCCTCGGCCCACGCGGCCCGGGGCGGGCCCGGGACGGGCGAGGACCCCATCCCCATCCCATCCCCATCCCAGCCCCCGGCTGCCGCTTCCGCCGGCAACAGATCAATACCTCCGGAAGTGAAGCTGGTCCATTCAACCTGCCGCTGCACCACCGCCAGCTACCCGCGCCGCGCCGAGCACCACCACCTATGCCCGCTGCTCTCTTCAACTTCTATCAACTTCAGCCCGTCCAAGATCTGCTCAGTTGCAGCGGTTCACCCCTGATGCACTCCTGACTCCCCCCCCCTCCCCCTTCTCTTCCAACATTTCCTCCTCCACCCCCTCTCCTGTGTGCAGACGATGCAACAACAAGAACTCCATTTACGGGACTCAATGCGCGGTTTATCAAGAGTCTTTGGAGATCGACACAATGACTGTAGCGCAGCGGTGATGTGGCCAACATTTACTTC